AAAGGGTTTTCAATTCGAATGATGTTTTGCAGAGATGATCTTTAAGGGAATAAGATCTGAAATATTAATAATTCGGATCATTAACATACAATACATAATAGGTTCTACAAGGAATGTACCTCAAATAAACTTATTTGAGGAATCCATAAATTGAAGCTATATGTTGAATCACTTGTAGAACAGAAGCACAAGTACCCTATTCATGCTCTCAATGTCTACCACAAAATACATATTCGTGCTCTATAAGAACCGAACACTCTTATGGGAAAAAAATGAATACTTTAATGTTGATGAACTGTGGTCATCCACATGACATAAAGCACCATAATTTGTCTTTCACATGAAAAATAAACACAAATGAAACTTATGCACGACCCCAGATAATTTAGTATTGAATACATGCATATTACATTAATCAAAAGGATTTCAAATTTAGAACAGAAAACAATTGTAAAGTCATGTATTTATGCGATTATGTATGCATGATAGTTGAAAATTTAGGCAAAATTATATATAAACCCAAAAGCATTTAGGGTTTTTTAGGGATAACCCACACAATTTTATTTTTCGATCACCCACAAAATTATATATAAACCCAAAAGCATTTAGGGATTATATGTACGAGTTACGTTAGTTTGCATGTAGGTTCTTCAATGTTTCACGAGAGACTTAAAACGGATTCGTATGTGTAGAATACTTATTTTTCTTTTAGGGTTTCTGATGTTCATCATGGGAGAGGATGCTTCATTGAACAACAAGCGTTCACATGCACCGGTCAACATTCTTCACATGCCAAAAACCCAACCAAGCCACCATTCATGGTTCACGTTCATGCTCCACCAAGGAGGGATAACCCATAAATTTTGATGAGTTTAGTTAGGAAGTAATAGCCAAGAAATATCAGTCACAAGACTTTTGATCATGCGTTGCTACTGTTGGAGACAACTGCTGGGAGTGTGGATCCTATGTCGATCCCTTTGGATACCCAAAGTTTTAGGGTTAAGGCGAGACATAGTCCCTTACTTTTCATGTTGCCAACGATTGGCGAAAAGATAGGGAACTATTTAGGTACTTTCTTCATGGTGATCGCAGCCTAAAAAGGGGGATTGTCTGGGTAGCTTCGTGCGCATCAGAGTGGGCTTGAAAGTGTCATTGAAACGATGTGTAACGCTAACACTTGCGGCTTGGGGTGGGCATTAGGACCGGAAAATCGGAACACCGAGCCGGACCGATGTGTAATGCTAACACTATACCAGTAGTTACATTTTCATCCATAAACTCCAAAAATAGTTGCAAAGATCCCCCAATTATGTATCGTGTTGCATCATTGGTCCTTCCATCAAACAATGTTAAATTTTTTGTACAAAATGAGGGTAAATTTGGAAATTCATCCACAACCTTACCTCTCCTCCACCACCCACCCCTTCCTCCATTGCTGCAATCCACACCTTCCCCCTCCTTCAGACTTGACAGAAAGGACCGTAGTGCAACACGATATATAATTGAGGGACTTCTGCAACTATTTTTGGAGTTGAGGGATGAAAATGTAATTCAGGGTATAATTGAGGGACTACTACTTAATTAAGCCAAAAAGTTGATTGGTGAAATCGTACGACTGCTTATTATATATACTGGTTTCCTCTTCTTTGACGTGTTTCCTTTTTTTTAGGATGTGTTTTGGAATTTTTTTTCCTGTTGTTAACAGTAAAAAAGAAAGTTAAAATACCAGCTGATTGAGGCGTTGAAAACCAACTCAAACAAATACATGCTCATTTTTATATCCTGCACGCTCGAATATTTATATAGTACTTATAATATTAATATATATATATAATAATACACACGTTAAAAATATTTTGGGGCCTTAAAGATTATGTATGATAATTGAATTTAAATCTTTACCATTAATTCCACTTCTTCTTGTTGCATTTACCATTTCACGTTATTTAATCACATACCTGAGATAGTGTGGTGAAAACAATAAGAATCGGCCACCCGCCATCCTGATGTGCACCAACGATCAAGAAAATATTCCAGGTCAAAGCCATACAGCAGAGAGTTGTGTATGTATTCATAGGAAGCGTTGTGGAGTTGATGTTCATACGAGTCAAGCATAGCCGTCGTCCACTCTACAGTGCAGCCGATCGCAAAGTCCGATGCATTTTGCCCGTCAATCATGACATAGCCATGCGTTTTTTGTTGGGACGAAGAACTCATATTAAGGCATGGAGCAGTGTCCACATAGAGTGGAGAATTCACCGGACTTGCGCACTTCAAGAAAGTTACAGGCATACCAAATGGGTAATATTGGCCGTTCGGACCCATACTCTGAAATTGAGAACTAACGGCGAGAGGATAAAGAGGACTGGAGGAGCAATTGTTCTTCTGAATGCCGGGATCTACAACTCGGATGGTTCGATTATCGTAGTTGATTGCCTGGACATAGTATTTTCCAGAAGGAGGTAGGTCTACTAGTAGTGTACTGTTGTTCTCACAGGACAGAGTAAACAATAAATCGCCGCAGTGCTTTGGATCATCTTTTAGTCGGAAAGGATAGCTTATGTTGGGGATATTGCCACAGGAAGAGGTACACTTAGCGTTACAAGTTTCACCGGATAAACCAACAACAAGAAAGGCTACAATTACAAACCATGACGACAAGGTGAAGAACGACTTTCCAGTTTCCATGGAGAGAGAGTTAGGTTTGAGTTTGATAGCTACACAAAGTAAAGCTTTAGACAGTAGCCGTAGTTTTATAATTAGGTGGATTGTCATCGCTTCTGATAAATTCAATGACGTGCCAATTCTTCACAAGCTAGCTTCTGTGAAGCTTCGCTTCTAGTGATTAATTTAAGGTTCCATTCCAATTGGACCAGCTTATTTAAACAAAGCCTTAAATGCTAAAATAGTCCCTATGTTACTCACCAAAAAAAAAAAAATAGTCCCTATGTTTTTATCACGTTGGTCAATTTAATCTCTGTTTTTAATTTGGCTAATTTGGTCCCTGGGTTTAGGACTGTTAGCCAATGTGGCTCATTCCGTTAAAATTGCGATTAAATAAATATAATGATATTTTTTTTCTTGGTTTAAATGTCAAAATAGTCCCTGTGTTTTACCATGTTGGCCAATTTAATCCTTGTGTTTTCAATTTAGCCAATTTAGTCATTGTGTTCAGAATAGTTATCCAATGTGGTCCAATCAATTAAATTTACATTATTAACCTTTTTTTGTCTTTTAAAAACTGAAAACCTTTTTGAAGTTAATTTTTTTAAGAATTAACTTTAAAATATTCAAACTTCATTAAAACATAGCAAAGGACGAAAAATACCCTCCTTCACCAATCCCTTCCCAGCTCATGAACTGCAATATAATTTCTTCAACTGTCTACAGCTTCTCCAAAGCCAACCCAAGCTCCAATCACCAGCTCCAATTCCAGGTAGACAGACTTTCCAAACCCAATTATGCATAAAATCCTCGATGTAGAACCCATATTTTTGTATTGGCATCAACAGTTAGCTCAAAACCTTCCTCACATCAAACCTAGACTGACAATTAATTCAAAGAAGGGAAATTGAGAAAATCCACAATTTTGTGTGTGATAGCATTTGATTAGAGGGAGGTAGCTGGGATTGGATGGTGGTGCCTTGTTTTTTTATTTTTTATTTTTTTATTTTTGTTTTTGGATCTCCTTTTTATTTTTTTAGTGCTTATTTATTTATTTTTAAATTCAATTCAATTATTATATTAATTCTTAAAAACTTTTTAACATCAAATTAATGGATTGGACCACATTGGCTAACGGTGCTAAACATAATGACTAAATTGGCCAAATTAAAAACACATGGACTAAATTGGCCAATATGATAAAACACAAGGACTATTTTGACATTTAACCCTTTTTTTTTTTTTTTTGAAAACCTATAAACTTATTTGAAATTGATTTTAAAAATTGAATTAATTTAAAAATATATTGAAACTTCATTAAAACCTATGTTTTATCATGTTGGCCAAATGGGAATTAATGGTGGGGTTGGTGATCCTGCTGGGAGATGGTCGGGCGGTAGGGGTTGTTTTTTAGAGAGAGAGATCAGGGGTTGGGTGGATTTGAGTTTAGGAGGTGGGTGTAGCTTGGGGATCAGTTGGGGCCTTTGGGTCCGGCTGCAGGAAGTAGCTGGGCAGGTAGTTGCTGGGAGAAAGAGAGAAGAGAGAAGGGTGGGGGTGGCGACTAGATTGGATGGTGGTATTCTTTGATTTTAATTTCTTTTAGTTTTAGATCTTATTTTTATTTCTTAATTATCTAATTTTAAATTGAATTCAAATATATCTTTTTTTTAATTATTAATACTAGCCTCTCCACAAGCGCTTCCGCGCCTGCAAGAGGTTTTTTTTAAAAAAATTTAAAATTTATTGTAGAATTAAAAAAGATAATGGGTAGTTGTGTTCCATAAAAATAGGATCTATTAATTGATTTTTCTTTAAAATTTGAAAAAGTGTGAATTTACCATATTATCCTCATTTAATTAATAATTTCAATTTTTAATGTTTGCATTAACCAAGGGCATTTTCTGATATTTTGAATGTTTATATATATAGATTTAAACAGTTTTAAAATATAAATTTAACGGATTTGATCACATTGGCTAACGGTCCAAAACACAAGAACTAAATTTTTTCTCTATATATCTAACAAAAAATAAAAACTAAAATCTAAAAAACAAGAAATAGTTACCAAACGGCCCTAAAAAAGCGAAAGAATCCTCGATTTCTAGAAAGTCGCTGATGTTTTGTCATGTAGTTGAAATGAGCTACTAAGGCATGATGCATCCTCTTTTGCTGCCGGTCCGTGCAGTGTATCTTTACAATTTGATAAGAAAGCATCATCCATGATGTATCCTCGTCTGCTATCCAATGCTTACCTTCCAGCTTTTCACAGACTTTGACTAAAAATAATAATGAGAAAAGCACAACAACTGGAATAAAAATTTGAGAAACTTAGGACTATGGAAGGAATCCATGATGGTACGTCTAGCTCTCAAGCTCCTTCTCATGTTTGGAGGCCTCCACCAGCAGGTTTTTATAAAATAAATGTAGATGGAGCACTCAAACCTGGTGACTCCATTCGTGGGATTGGTGTGGTTGTTAGAAATGAATATGGTGAATTTATGGGTGCATGTGTTAAGCCAATCCAAGCCAGTTATTGGGCTAGGCAAACGGAGCTTATGGCTGCAATTGAAGAAATGCGATTTGCTATTGACATGGGATTTACTTATGCCATTCTAGAGATGGACGCAAAAGAATGCATAACTGGTATTCTTTCAATAGAGGATTGCAATGGAACAGATGGTCTCTTATTTGAAGAGGCGAAACATCTACTTAGTAAATTTAGAATAGTTTTATGTCAATGGACCCCAAGAAGCGGTAATAAGGTGGCACATACTTTGGCTCAGTTTGCAATTAGTTGTAATGATTTTGTTTCTTGGATTGAGGAAGCACCTACATGGTTGCTCCCATTTCTTTCTGCAGATGTACTCTCTTTTTGAGTTTTGAATGAAATCTTGATTCTCAAAAAAGGACTAGGGATGGATCCATGATTTTAAATTGGGGCGGGCTAAATTTATCTTACATACAAACCTACCAAAAATAAAAGTGTGTGCGTGCAGTGGTCGGTCCATGAATATTTGTTCTAAAAATATAAGGCTAAATAAAGTATTTTTTTAGCATATTAAAATAAAAGTAGTCATCTCGTATGGAGTCACCATTTTGGCCAGCACTTTACCCCTTATGGGCCGACCCAGTGTGAGTGGGGATTAGTCTGGGTTGTGGTTAAGGCTTAAAGGTGCCACCCATAGTTTGGGCCCATCCAGGACCATCTCGTGGTTCAGACCAAAAAAAAATAAAAGTAGTCATCTCTTTCGGGTAATTTTTTTTATTATATCAAAATAAATATGCATTGTGCCGGTCCACAAATATTTGTCTAAAATAAAAATATTTATGGTTGTTTTACAATGCTTGGAAAAGGTGTGTAGCTATTGCTTTATGGAACTTGGGCTTGTAGTGAGAAGGAAATTAATTAATAAGAAGGAAAGGATTAGCTGGGTTACATAAATTTAATGAAAACGACACCGTGTGTATTAAATATACCTCTTGTCAAACTTACCATTTCATTGAAGAAAAAAAAAAACAAACAAACTTTTAAATTAAAAGTCAAATAGATGGCGTGTGTTCTCATCTTTTCCCTGAAAAATGCATCTATAGGCTTACACCTCTACAAACCTTCCCTGGAGTGGAGCATTTCACCAAGCAGGTGGTGGGCTGGGAATGTTATAGGATATGAAAAAGAAAAAGTCACCTAGGCTATAGCACAGGTTAGCCATATGCACAGTCCGTCTTTGCTTAGGACTCGTTTGAAAACAATTTCAATTTTAGTTTTTAGCTTTCATTTTTTGTGCTAGAGTATAGAGGAAAAATAGGGAGAATGGAAGTGAGAATGAGAGTGGAGATGGAATTGAGAGGGAAGATGAGAGGGGAGGATGTGAGGGAGAAGGAACAAAAGTGAAAACAAAAACTAAAAACTAAAATCTATTTGAAATTGTTTTCACTTTTGTTACTCCTCCCTCCCATCCTCCCCTCTCATCCTCTCTCTCAATCTCATCCTCACTCATTCTCACTCTCATTTTACTTTATAATCCAGCACAAAAAAATGAAAACTAAAAACTAAAATTGAAATAGTTATCAAACCGGCCCTTATAATTTTCAACAAGTCTAGTCTCAGGGAAAAACAAAGTTGAAACCATGAATATCCATCATTAATGTATTACAAAATTTGGGAGCAACTCAAGCAGTCCACCAACAGCCAACGGGTTCAGGATGGGGACCCTGTGCCCAACTCTCATATTTGAATTTCATTTTGATCACTCAATTCAATTTTTCCTATTGCCCGTATACTTTCCTTTGTGTCTTATTTTCCTCATTACCATCACTTTTGTTAAGTTTTATGTTAAGTTTAGGGGTAATCAATCATTCCACCAATCGAATAATGGATAAACTAGACATTTCACCACTTATCTTGAACAAATGAACTTATAATGTTTTTCCAGTCGGTTTTTATTTTTCAATTATATTGGATGTTTTTAACTTTTAATGTTTTAGATATATATGTAATGAAAAGTAACAGACGTTACACTGAGGTCGAAAAGACTAATTTGAAAGTGGAGATGGTGTATAAGTTCATAGCCTATTGCAAACGCTAGAATTAAGATTAAATACAGACTGTAGAAAATTTAATTACCAATCTCTGTTTTTTTTTTTTTTTTTGAGAAAAATGATTTCATTCATATACATAGAGCGATACGAAACCTTCTTGAGGGACAAACCCCAGGGTAGAAAAGAACACCACACATGTCATAGACTAACAAGAGAGTCTGAATCAGAATAAATCAACAAACTAGCACATAGACCTCCGACGAGAACACTACAACACAACCCAACTGTCAAAAGAACCCTGCTATGAGATCATAGTCCTTTGCACAGCCACAAGATAGTGAGAGCATCCGACAGAGAACACACCAATTCCCCAAGAAGAGAAAAAAAAAAACCAACCACAAGCACACCATCTCTAGCCACCTCCAATAGTGAATGGCGATGAAATTAGAGAAAGTTTGCAAAGAGTGACACAAAGAAGAGACAAACCATGCAAACATGCCAGGAAAATGAATAAAAGGTCCCCCAAGCACGTTGTATCATCTCAACACTGACAAAAAAACCTCCTATATAACTAGTCCTTGAAACATGCGAAAATCAAAGAGATGTGAAGGGGTGAAATAAGAAACACCATGCAATAATAACAAAACTGGCATCAACAACTTAACTTGCTCATGGGGAGCAAGTTTGAGAGCATTCACCAGACCGCCAAGCCCACGAATGCTCCAAAAACACATTAAGGAATGCTCCCAAGAGACTCCACTGGACTGGTCTTCATAGGTTCATCAGAAGGGACATCAATGTACAGTCGCTTAGAAGCCATGAAATCTACTCCAGAAACCAAAGTATCACTGACAGAAATAGGTGTAATAGGAGTTTTATGCTTAGCAGTAATCATATAAGAGGCACTACGGAGAATCTCCCCTTTCTTGGGTCTGCCGAGACCCTTTTTTGGTGAATGACGTGCAGAGAACTGAATAATAGGCATAAGTTCAAGAGGATCATAGGTTATTAAATCCCAGGGAATAAGGGGAGGCGCCTGGAAGATGGGATCATTTAGCGCGGGGATCACTGGGACCACCGAGGTGTTTGGCACAAGTAGAGAAGCTAGCGGAGTACTCGCCGCCGTAGCAAATATCTCATATTGGTGCCGAAGAGAGGCCACCGCATCAAACACTATGGAGCAAAGTGGAAGAGCTGAAGGGGAGATGGAATCCTCTACCTCAGTCGTTCACGAGAGGAAGACCGCCAAGACAGAGTGTCAGAACTACTATGACCACCCGAACCATCATTGGTCCAAAGACCCGCTTGCCGAGGAGAACAAAGAGGGCTCTTATATGGGGGTAAGGGAGCCGAAATATGGCATTCCGAAGAGCCTATAGAGTTGCCTGCAAGTTGGTATCATCTTCCAAATCAACAAAAGCAAAGGAAAACTTGGCCAACAAAGACGGATTGAGAGAACCTTGAGAGAGCTCATATTTATCAACATACACCTGGGATGGGTGACCAATTTTGCCCATGCAAAGCAATATTCAGGAAGATATTCATACTTAAAGTCCACCATTCGCTTGCCCACTTCTGGGAAGGTAACAGGTGTACAACATATAAGAGGCTGTGTGACATCAAACCTTACACGAATATGAATAAAACGACTCACACAGTTAGAACTATCACAATTATCCACCTAAAGAACTTCTCTGGGAATAGCCCCTATTGCTTTAGCAACAATGACAGTCATGCAAAAACCAAGGACACCATGGAGTTGAACCCAAAAGGTACCAAGGGATAAAGGCATTGAATGCAGATTCCCGTTATCAGGGATGTTCGCCAGCAATATCAATGAACGCCGAAAGGCACAAGGCTCCATATCAAGAACCTGCTTCTTATCGCGATCACAAACAAAACGCACCCAATATTTGTTGGAACCAATTTCTTTTATAGAGACATCTCCAAAGCGACAAGATGCACCCAAGGTTTTTATAAAGCCATCACAATTGACAGGTTTATCAGTAAGGACTTGAGCGACAAGACCATAAATAAAACCAACAAAATTGTATGCAACGTTAGAAGAACCAATAATCAGACCAGTCTTTTCACGTGGCGTGAGTACCAGACTACTATCAAAGGATTGCTCAATGTCTACAACAGACATAGACATCCCAACACAATAGACTATACACCAAACAGTAAGGAATTCAAAACCGAGAACAAATAAACCAGGCCCCAAATTGAGTGCAAATAAACCCGGGAATGATCACAGCAATGGCAGACAGAGGGAGAATAGCTCAGGAGTGCAAATGAGGACAAACAGGAAGACACGCCCTGCAAGGTCGGAGAGGGAGAACGATGGCGACTATGACGGTGGGATTTAAGAGAGCGACTAAACGCAATTGGCCAGAGGCTGGAGGTGTTAACCACTAAGCGTGAGAAGACAATCTTGCAAGAGAGAGAAAGCGACGTGGATTCACCAGGATGGGATGGCAGCTGACTGCGAGAGGAAACCCTAGATAAGACTCATGACTTTCCTCACATAACAAGAGAGTGACCCCAAATCGGAATCTACATGTACGTGGAGCTTGTATACCAAGGAATCTCGTTATATTAGGCCACAAACCATGCTTTTATGTGGTCTCAAGGGTATTGTCAAGCTTTTATAGTTATATTGTTGGTGTTTTTATTTATTTATTTATTTATTTATAAGTGTGAGTAGTATGAGTGGTGGATATCTTAACTGTTGGTAAAAAATAAAGATAATTGCTATATTTACAGAATTTCGAAAATAAAACTTCACTATAAATTCGAAATAAATACAATAAAATAATGACAAGGTAAAATTAGGAATACTTTACAAATGATCGAGTCTAAAACTTGGTTCTATCTCCTTAAGACGAAATTCCCTCCTCACAGGTGCTTTTAGGATTTTCTTCGCAAACGTCTCCCAAGATACAACGATCGACTTCTTGTTGAAGTAGCACTCTAATCCCCAAGAAAAGAAAACTCAAACTTGTGTATGAACTCTCTCTTACTAACACACTATATTTATGAAAATACAATGCTATGAATGCCCTAAAAACTACTATTGTTGGATGACAACTGGATGAATGAAATTTTGTAGGACCTTCTCTATTTATAGGCAACAAGGCCTCTGTTTAGATTTGGGGTCGCTCTCTCGTTCATGCGAGGAGAGCCTTGAAGGCTAGGGTTAGGGTTTCTCTAGTTTTCTTTACTCATTGTCTGCGTCGTCTCTCTCAGTCTTCTCTGCTTTTCTCTTTGGGTTCTTCTTGGTGAATTGGGTATGACATTTTTTGTGCTCTTTTGTTCTTCTTGGGGTGGTTGCGTTGGCTTCCTTTCTGGGTTCCTAAGGAGCCAGTCACTGGTGAGGGGTCTCCATCTTAACACTATGGAGATGGCCACCGTCTCTTCTGCTCAAGGGGATGACAAGTATGTGACACCAATGGGGAATCAGAAGCGTGCGAAAACTTGTGCTGGGCATCTGATTAGTAGTGGCATGGATTTTTCTGGTAAGCATAGTTTTTGTATCGAGGATTTTGTTGACAAGGCGGAGGAGACTAGCCTCGAGGGGTCTCCAAGATCTCCCTAATAATTCTCCTATGGAACGTTCTTGGGCTTAGCAACCGATGAACGTTCCTACTATGAAGATCTTTCTTCGGAATTTTCTTCAGGCTAAGAGGCCAATCTTGGTCTCCCTTGCTTGTCAGCTCGAGTTCTGGATCAAGAAAATTGGAGGTGGTGGTTGGTGTTTGGCTGGATCTGTTATGATGCTCACAATACGTTTTTGACTCTGTATGAAGAATTATGATGCTTTCTTTATATCATAGGAGGCGTTCTTTGACAGTATCTGCATAGTGATGGGATGTGTTTCAATGGTTTTGCGGTTGGGTGATTGACTGGATCTTTTTTGATACCCACAGTACGTTTTTGACTCTGTACGAAGAACTATGATGCTTTTTCTAGATCATAGGAGGTCTTCTTTGACAATATCTACGTAGTGATGGGATGTTGTTTTAAGGGTTTTGTGGTTGGGTTTTAGGTTGGTTTGTTTCGTATAAGTTGTTTGACTCAGGAAAAAAAAAAAAAAAAAAAAAAAGTTCTCTGTTCAGAAAAGATGTGATTGAAAAATATCAACAAATTTGTCTTTTCCTGTTACAACCATAAGCCGAGAAGTGCAATGTTTCAATTACTATAAAACAATGCAACTTTTCACATAAAGTATTATTGTTTTATTTGCAAACAAAATAAATAATATTTTATTTTTCCTCTATTAAGAACATGACTATTCCCAATTGATACATACCAATTCGTAAAAGTCATGTACTTAAAGTCACAAATCCCACAATTTAATTTACATTCAATTATTAAAAAATTAAATATAAATATTATAATTTTCTAACATTAACTATTCTGAATTTTTAATTATTCCCTCTTTTGTAAATTTTTTCTTTCACATATATATATTCCTATGAAGGAGAGTTTTCAACATGACATGTGTATGTATCTATATATATAAAGCAAAAGGCAGAAAATGGTATAACATTCAAAATACCAGAAAATGCCCTTGGTTAATGCAAACATTAAGAATTAAAATTACTAATTAAATGAGAATAATATGGTAAATTCACACTTTTTCATATTAAATAAAATAAAATTACAAGAAAAATTAGATAATGGATCCTATTTTTATGGAACACAACTACATATTATCTTTTTTAATTCTAAAATAAATTAAAATTTTTGTAAACAAAGCCTCTTGCACGCACGGAAGCGCGTGCGAAGTGGCTAGTCTTAACAACGAATAAGTAGTTCTCTATGAGCTTTCAAATTGGACTATGCATTGTAGTCATCTCTTTCGGGTATTTTTTTATTAAATCAAAATAGGTAGAGATTTCATTCAAACTAAGAATTCAGATAATAAAAAAACCAGGAAAACTGGAATATGCAGTGCTATTTTGTGGCCTCCTTAAAACGTTGTCTTAAAAAATATGAAGAAGAGGAAATCCAGTCAAGGAAAAAGAGTACCACATCACGCAATCAAAAACTAAACAAACTACCTAACCATATGACTTATCAAATCCCTACATTACAGTTACAATTTTATAATATATAAATACAAATAATTTCTGCATTGTAGCTAAAGTTTCAAGGTATATAAATTTATGGCTTTTGACACGTGGAAACACGCAAATTTGAGGATAAAATAATTAAAAACTTAGAGCATCTCTAACAGCATCTTCAAAGACCTTGGGACACAAAAATAGATAAGTCACATCAGCAAAAACCTTATCCAATAGCCTTGTCAAACACGCTCACCAAATACACGCTCACCAAATATAGGACTCCTCATTCACTCTTCAGAACAGACG